AATTCTCATTTAATAAATTGAATCCTGATTTCTACATAACAATAGACAGCTTAATAAATACTAATGTACTATATTTAATTAACGTCATAAACAATTCTTTTAACAATTAATACAACTAATGGGAAATTTATTTTTCATGCAAAATACTAATTAGTCAATTGTTTGTTTGTTTCTCAACATTTATAGTACTTTTTTATATCAAACGTCTCTTATATAAATGTGTTTCAGATATAAGACTTCTAATCAGTTGTTATACAACAAATCGTGAGTCAATCTATAACCAAAATGAACAAGCTCATTACTTTAGTTGCCTTTGTGGCCGCATTATTTGCGATGATTGACTGCAAGTGTGATATGCTTAAGGAATTTAAGCCCGAGTTTGATGAGATCCAGGCGTGGGCTAAAAAGCGATGCGATACCAGTAAGTGATCATGGTCAATGACTCATTGGGTATATGTAACGATTTTTACAATCCATTAATTCATAAATCATAATATGTTTACAACGATTTGATTAGACGCGGCTCTAAGTCAGTCCGATTTGGATAAGGCAAAGGGTTGTTATGACAAACACATCCAGCAGTATATGGCAAGTGCTGACGGAAAGGTAGTCGACAAGTTCATATGCAAAGAGATTTTCATCAAGGAAACACTCGACGTGTGCACTAATAAAGCCACTCAGGATAGGGTTAGTATAGAAAACTTACCTGTTACATCATATAAATTACTCTAATTAAATTGCTATTTTGTCCTTGCTCAAAACAACCAGATTAAGAATAAGGGTATGTCTGATGTGGGCGTTTCCCGGGGTATGAAACTCAAGAAGGAGGTGGAGGCAGACTGTCCTAAGTTCAAGGGAGGCTTCCAGGGTTATAATGTAATTCATTGATCTCATTATATTTATTAATTATATTTATTATATTTATTATATTTATTATATTTATTATATTTATTATATTTATTAATTATATTTATTATATTTATTATAATATGTGTTTATATTTTCTAGAAATGTGTGATGCAATAGTTTTCATAACTATTTATGGGCGCCGACAACAATAACTATCTATTTGTTGTATTATATTTGCTAATAAAAATAAAATAAATGCTTTATTATCTGTCCACCATTTTATATTTAAATAATTTTATTAAAAATTTAATTTCATATCAATAATATCTACAAGATAGAAAAGATTCAAATGATTTACAATTGATAATTATTTTGTTTAAAAGTTTCAAACTAAACAGTAAGTTAGAATTAAACTATTTCAAATAAATTTTATTATTTTCAATTATTATTAAACTTTTAGTTTAACAAATTATCAAGAGTTTTAATATCAATGTTATAAATACAGTAGTATCATATTAATAATAATACCGTATAATAGTGTGCTTATATTTTAAGTAGATTTTAAAATAATCAAGCAATTATTGTATTTAAGAAATTATTTATTTTTTAGCTTAAATTGATTATAATGTATGCAATTACTAAATTAACACACTTTAATTACTGTATTAATGAAATAGATTTGTGTTAACAATGCCCTAATGGGAATTGTTCTCTCTAATTGTAATTAAACCCGACTGAATTATACTCGTATAGTATGGTGAAGTAATAATATCCAGATCCGGTAAACTATGGGAATGTGTTAGGTGTCCAAATCGGTGGTTATATCGGTCGACGCGCTATAAAAACTATACTTTTTGTTGTGAAATACATTCATTCCTAATATTATAACTCTGACTCGTATTTATAGCAAAAAGTATAGAGTTTTTATAGCGCGTCGACCGATATAACCACCGATTTGGACACCTAACACATTCCCATAGTTTACCGGACCTGGATATTATTACTTCACCATACTATACGTGTATAACTCAGTTGGGTTTAATTACAATTAGCAATAACAATTCCCGTTCGGGCATTGTAAGCATAATCTTATTACATTGATGCTTAACTATAGAGTAAGGTCATGTGTTTCAATATACAGTATAATGTGTGAATATACAGTAATAAATTTGATTGAAAATAATGAAATTTGACATTATAATAAATACAATTATTTGTTAAGTATGTGTTGAATCTCTGTGCAAATTTATTATGTCATAAGCCTTTCATGCAATGTATTTATTACATTGTAGTCATTAATTTAATGAATGAATTTGAATTATAATATATCTACACAAATCAAAGCAATTTTATTTCCATGAAATTATTTGTATGTATGCACACAAATACAGGTGAGTTAAGATTATTTGTAAATTACACATGTAGCTCATGTACCTGGTTGAATATTTTAACTTCGTTTTTATTGTTATCTAGCACAATACGAGGCATTATTAATAACTTATCATTGAATAAATATAACATTTCTAATTCTTTAGATTTTTATTCAAAATTTTAATATTTATTATTCCATAAAATTAAATGAATAAAATATCTCAAATTTATAATCTGGGACAAATTATTATAAAATGAAACAAGTTTTAATTTTGACGGTTTTAATTGCCATTTGCAGTGCTCTTATTAGCGACTCGTTTATTAATGTAAATATTAATATATTTGGTGACAGCATTGATGGGACTGAGTATCAGGGTCGGTTCTAACTTTGTGACATGAAATTAATCAGAACAAATATCTATAACTTATTATATTATTCCAGATGATTATACCGGAACAGTAAGCAAGCAAACCGGACAAGCAATTAACCAATCTAAGGTAATTTCATAAATGTTTATTTTTCTTAATTAATTATCTGATTAAATTATTTGTAAATTCAATTATTTATGTCATATTTAAGGCCAATTTCTATAGTATGGAAAGTAATTTACAGCCATTTTCCGACACTTTACCCATACATGAATGGAGTGGTAAAACTACAAAAACTAATGTGTTTTATTTATTTAAATGATTTAACTGTTACTGTATTTGTTTTAAACTACTGTATATTCTAAGAATANTGTCATATTTAAGGCCAATTTCTATAGTATGGAAAGTAATTTACAGCCATTTTCCGACACTTTACCCATACATGAATGGAGTGGTAAAACTACAAAAACTAATGTGTTTTATTTATTTAAATGATTTAACTGTTACTGTATTTGTTTTAAACTACTGTATATTCTAAGAATAATTAAACATTATTATCTGTAAGCATTTAATATAGTAGTAATATTTGTTTGAAAATTGTTTATTGAAATATTTTTTATTTAAACATTAAATATTTATTCACATAACACTTTAATTAAGATGCTAAAATAAGTGCTTGTAATATAAAACCTAAAATCTTTAACATAATAGAATATACCGTATAACTATTTATTATTTAATAGTTATACAATTTAATGTATTTATAATTGAAAATTATTTTTCAGATACATGTTTTCAAAATACTTATAAACAAACAATAATTAATTAACTTCATTTCAAAATTGTATATCAAAAAGACTTATTTTATTGTTTTATTAATATATTATTGACTAATGGGAAAATTAACGTTAATTAAA